GGAGGAGGAGGAGGAGGAACAGCAGCAGCTATTTAGAGGCATTTGCTGCCACTGCATTGAAAAATAAAAGCCTGCAGGAAAAAAATGGCCTAATGATATGTTATAAAAACAGCTATTAACCAGATAGAAGTACTATCATTGGCAAAAATAAATGAGATAACATTTACCCAATTATTAGTCACATTACTAAAGTGTTTAAAAGAAACATTTCCAGGAATTATCTGTCCTGTGTCGATAGAGTATCTAAGGCACAATCCACTACGATTGGTCCTTTATGGAGAGAATTCCCCCAGAAAATCTGTGCATATGATAAATTGGCAATCTTTCATTAACCCTAACTTTGGTCATATACTGTCTTTTGTATGCTCCTGAGCTCTAAGACCCAACTTCTTAAACCCTGTTCTAGATTCAAATCCCATAAATACTTGCATAGACCACTGACCATCACTGTGTGACACAGATGTTGATGATGAAAATGTAGATGACGGTGATGATAGCTAATATTAATCTAGTATTTAGTATATGCCTTGTAGAAAGTCTTTGAAGTACTTACTATCATTAACAAGTTTAGAGACAAAGAAACTAAACTGCAGAAAGGTTAAGTAATTTATCCTGCATCATAGGACTAGCAAACAGTAAGTCCAGGATTAATGCCCAGTTAGATTCCAAAGCTTATTATGCTATTCTGCTTTAAAGACACAACTCAAGGATTTGCTCATATGCACCTCATTTTAATCATTCCATTTGTTCTTTGTTGCTTCCACATCAGCTCCCCTACCCAAGATTGCCCTAAAATTCCCTCTGGATTCAACTCCAGCAACTTTCAGCATTTTCCCTGGCCCCAAAGACGTGATCATTCCAATTCATTAACTAGGATGACCCTAGAGGAACCTTGACTACCAGACTTATTGCTGGCCAAATATGACTGATTCCCATCTTTTGTGATAAGAAATGGAAGTTGGAACATTTATGTTGCAATGACTTTATCAAGGCTGGAGTTAAATTTTGAACAGTCCCATTTTACAGATGGGTAGAGGTTAAAGACTTAGTATTTTGTATTGGCTAGTAGTAGACTCTCCATTTTGAAAATCTAATTACCTCTGTGTATAAGGCCATCTTCCAAACACAATCATTCACACAACACCTTCATGATTTTTCGGTCATAGACTGCTTTAGTATTTGCTTAATATTTTGATTCAAATATACTTATTGCTTTTGTGGTAAAACAAATATATTTATAAATGAAAGTTTCTTTCACTAAAATAAAAACCATTACCATATGTCTTAGATGGAAATTTTAAATGCCTACACAATAAAATAAAATCATGTTGTAAAGGCTAGTTAGATTTTATTGCCATCTAAGGCTCTTAGTCTTGAGGATTCTTTCTCCTTGCTTAAAAAAAATTAGATAGTATTAGAGAAAAAACTAGAACTAAATTAGAATTCCTCTTTGATATAATCAGAAGGTTTTAAAGGATATAGAGAATCATTTTTGTTATGTAATTCACTCTTCTTTAATACTAAATCTTCACATCACCTAAAACTCATTTTGAGCAATACTATCTAGTGGAAACATAATGTAAATCATGTATAATTTTAAATTTAATTCTAGACACATTAAAAAAGTAAAATAGAAAAATTAATTTCAGTATTTCATTTCAGCTCATAACCAAAATATTTAACATGTAAAATCAACATAAAACATTTTTGAGATATTTTATATGCTTTTTAAATATTATTTTAGAAATCTGTTCCTAATCCATATCAGTCACATTGAAGTATTCAGTAGCCTCATGTGGTAAGTGGCTCTATTGAGCACAGGAGCCTTATATGACACCCATTAGGAAATACATGATGAAGTTAGGATGATTGGGCAGTGGGACCCTTTGTGGTTAACATGGTCATGACATCTGGCAACCTTTCTGAAACTCACTTTCTGTGTCTAGAAAATAGGAGGAATTCATTGGCTGTAGTCTCTGCTATGACTACCACTTGTTCCCTTTCTGTTAAAGCTCTTCATAAAGCCTTATTGTTAACTTTCCTGGAAAACTTCAAAGAACAAGTTGCACCACAGCCCTCCAAAGAGTATATACATCACCCTCCAAACAAAGGTGTTTGATGAGACAGTGTCACAAATGCTGTGACTGAACTACAGAGCTGCAGGAGCATAGAAGTGGATCTCCTTAAGCATCTGGAAGTTTCCTGGAGAAGGTGACTGTGATAATGTGAAGTGTGCATTTGGTTTTCATCCCTGTTTCCTGATATACAGTTCAAAAAATCCTTGGTTTCTCTAAAGTAGTAAGAGTGTTTCTTTCATGTTAATGAGATAAATGGTGGCTGGGGGCCCCTAGATAGCTTCATGATAGGGGCTGGTAACCAGAAATACAAAGACACAAAGAGTTGGGACTTTCAATCTCTTGCCCCCAACTTTTAGGGAGGGGAGAGGGGCTGATGGTTGAGTTGATCACCAATGGTCAGTGATTTGACAAGTCATGCCTGTGGAGTAACGCTCCAATAAAAACCCAAAGGGACTAGGATTGGAGAGCTTCAGTGT